GGTATTGACACGATGCTCAATTGGTACTTATGGATCCAAAGTGTCAGGAAAATATCCCCCACACCACTGTACCACCAGCAGCAGCCTAAACCATTGATACAAGGCAGGGTGGATTCATGCTTTCATGTTGTTGATACCAAATTCTGACCCTACCATCTGAATGTTGCAGCTGAAATCCAGACTCATCAGACCAGGTAACATTTATCCAAAGTCACTTAAACCACCTTTCTTCCTCATTCTGATGCTCGTTTGAACTGCAGCAGATCGTCTACATGCCTAAATGCATTGAGTTGCTTCCATGTCATTGGCTGATTCCACATTTGGATTAATGAGCAGTTGGACAGGTGGACCTAATAAAGYGGCCRGTGATTTGTAGGTCCAGTGATTGCTTTCTGAGCTTCACTAAAACCTGTCAAGTGGTTCATGAGATATTTTGCTAACAGACAGATACTGCAGGCTCCAGTAGTTAAGAAATTTTTWAAAATAAGTCTGTAACGATCTGAGCTTAGAGTCTGTAAAAGTGTTTTATGATAAGGTTGATCAGTTGTGGCGGCCATTTTAAATTTGGAGAACTTTAAAAGTGAATCAGTTGTAGCTGTACATGCAAATATTACAGAGTTTAAATCTGTCCAAGTGTTTATGAAACACAGATATGACTGCAGTGCTACAGTGCTTAACGACCTAAACTCAAAACTTCAACTGATAGGATTTGTTGCACTCTGTTTTAGGGTCAATCATTCAAATAATCTGTTTCCAGTTTTATYTCCACCCTACCTGTTTGACCTTCGACACGTCTCGAATGAAGGCTGCGTTGTCAACAAAGTCATTCAGCTTCCTCAGCTGACTCAAGTCCTTCACATAATCCTCCCCGATCACCTGAAGAAAGGTCAGAGGTCACAAAGCGACAGGGTGGAAGAATCCCTTCGCAGAACGTGTCTGAACAAACCTCAGCTATCAGTTCGGCCAGGCCCGGGTTGCAGAGCAGTAACCAGCGGCGCGGAGTGATGCCGTTCGTTTTGTTCTGGAACTTGTCCGGCTCCAAATCACTAAAGTCCCGAAATCTATGGAAGAGAAAAATCGTGTAAGAGTTCAAAAAGGACTAAAGGAAGTCTTTTTCCTCGGCCTTATTACTGTTGACCTTTAGAARAATCTTAAGGTTCTACTCTTCCATTTGACCAGAGAACCACTTCCAGGTTTAAATTTTTAAAAATAAATTAACACATTGCAGCAAAATGTGTTTGCGCCTGTATCYGTTAGCAACATATCTCCTGACACCACATATAGACCACAGCATGTTTTTTACAATGGTTTTAGGTCTAACAAGTTGGTTTTAAACACTGGACTACCACCGGGTTGTGTTTTATCACCTATTCTTTTCTCTGTGTACACTAAAAATATAACATGCAGCAGCGAAGGAATGACACTGGTGAAATACTGTATGCAGATGACATGGCTTTGGTAGCCCACTTGACTGACTCATCTGCACTCATCAGATATGAGCAGGTGGTAAATAACCTGGTCCAGACCTTTGCAGAGGACTCCTTAGCCCTAAACGTCACCAAAACTAAGGAGCTTTGCTGTACAGGCAGGGGTAAAATATGTAATAGTTTCCTTAAACCCTTGATCATTCAAGACCAAGCAGTAGAGCCGGTAAAATCCACATTCTTTAAAGGATAAAATTAAAACTAACCAATCCTCTTCCTCCTTTCTTTCCTCAAACTTTAGCCTGACCCTTGCCTTCCTACACAGCTCCGCTCAATTCTAGTTTCCTTCTCTGCTCCGTCTGGGATTTCTCCCACTGAGATGGATTTCATTGGCAGATTTTTAGCNCTCATTTATTTTAGATCAACTTAAACTCACTGAGTACGCTCATCTTGTGTGTTTTGTCCATTCATTTTTGCATGGAAGAGATATCTACCGAAAATTAGGGTTGGGCATCATTTCAATTTGAACAGTTCCGATTCCAATTTCGATTCCTTTTTTCGATTCCCATTCCTAACGATTCTCGATTTCGATTCTTTTAAGAGGCTTTAAGTGTACATGGTTTAAATGGAGCGTAATATAACCAGAGTTCTTTCTGGATGAAATAATTTGAACTTCTTTAAGAATTTCTCACAGGGTTTTTTTAAATCAGTAAATATTAAACCTAAAAAAAATTTAAACTAGATAATTTGTTGTAGTAGGTGGCATGTATTTTTGAGTTGATAGTTTTTATCATGTCCCTGCAAACATATAAACAAACAAAGTCACTGTTATAGTAACGTTAGCAAAGACTATCAGCTTAGCACAATCATTATTGCTGAACTAACCTAAATGCAGGTGACTCCACGTCTGAAAAGGGATGTAGCCATTTTACAACATATGCTGTAACTTTTCTGTGGCACTCCTCAATTTGTTGGACTGACATCTTTCCTTTGGACGCTATGGTGAACGGAGTAACACACGGAGACTGGTGAACTGCCTGCYTKCATTTTCAGGTCGATCGTCTATGAAAAAATACACGYGCTAATTTTAGCTAAATATTTGCATTTGAGTTGATCCACTCTATTAGGTCGAGTAAAACTTGCCAGCTGACTGCCACAATAAAACGTATTTTACTTACAGAGTTGCACGTTCAGCGTGGCGCTAGGCTAAGACTCTGAGGATGAGGCAGTGGAGGAAGGACGACGCAGCACGTCGAAGACGGTGCACTTCGTTAATTCTACACCATGAAGCCGGAGGTGTTTAATCATATTAGTTGTGTACCCTTCTTTGCATGAAATAACTTTACCACAAGTGTTGCACTTAGCYGAGAGTTCTTTTATTTTTGTAAAGTTGAGCCACACCTGCCGAACACCTTCCATGTTTGCAAAACAATGAGGCTCTGCGTAGTGYRCGCGTGCGCTTCTTCTTCGTTGGTGTTTAGGCTGCTTCCGGTTGGCAGACTAAGAACCGAAGCAAAGAATCGAAATTTTAGAAATTGAACGATTCCAGGAGAATCGGAATGTTAGTCCCGGTTCCAATCGATACTCGAGAATCGATGCCCAAACCCTACCGAAAATAAGAACCTGTGAATTTCTTTATAAATTTTTATTATAAGAAGGTGTATAAATCACAWCAACAACAAGTTAATATGTTCTCTTTTTCAAAAGGAACTATTAACACGACCAGTAGTTATTAAACATTGGGACAGCTTTATGGATAGAATTTCATGGGAAAAGGTCTGGACTCTTCTAAACAATTTTCTGAGAACTAACAAGCCACCTATAAAATTAGTCATAAAATCTACCCTGTAAAAATGTTTATGAAATCTAGATTTAAAGAAATACTTGACATTAACTGTACCTTCTGTGACTCTTCTCCAGAAACTATAATCCATCTTTTGGCGTTGTCCCTTTCTCAGAATCTGTGTAACTTTATACACAATAATATAAAAATACAATTTTCCCTTTTTTGGAAACACATCTTACTTGGTCTGACTGTTAATTACAAATATAATAATCCAGAATTCTTCTATTACTTGTTCTAGATAAATATCATATTCACTGTTGCAAATATTTTGAAAGGAAACCATGCTTTTCTGCTTTTAGTGAAGTTAAATATCAAAAATCTTACAATAAGCTCACTGTTAAAACAACTGAAATCTGTACTACTCTAAATGCATTTATGAATCCCTAAACCTGTTTTACTTTGTTTTCCAAAAATTTCTGTTTGTGTTTTTTATTATTATTTTCTTCCCATTTATTTWATTTTTTGTCTTTGAAGCAACAATTTGTCTTAGATTTATTTATAATATATTTACTTCAGGTTTGTTTGACAGATGCTGCAGAGTTCTGTCATGAAGGAGAACCCAGGTCCTACCCTGACCTGACCTGTATGACGCACAGATCTGACACTTTAACCCTTCGTTATCCRTTTCTGACCTCTGACCAGCTGAATGTTGTCTGGTGATGAAACTCTAAACCTCAGGGAGTGAGTGCACAATTTGAGTGTTTGACGTTTGAAAATGGATGAGCTCTCCATGTTTTTGATGACACCTGCACCTTAAATCAGTCTGAACAAAGAGCTTACATTTCAGTCTTGATGATGTTGGAGTGGATCTCAGCCACTCCGTTGACAGCGTGAGAACCCACGATACAGAGGTGGGCCATGTTGACCCTCTTACACCCGTCCTCTTCGATCAGAGACATCCTCCTCAGTCTGTCYACGTCTTTTGGGAAAAGAGCAGCAATTTTCTGCAGAAAGAAACACAACACCACCAGGTTTGAGTTCATGAAACCTGACCAGCAGAAGAGACATTAACAGCAGGTTTGTAGAAGCAGATTTCATGTTTCTGAAGGAACTGGAGAGATTTCTGAGGGGAAAATAAACTCAGATTTTAAAAAGTACATTTAGAAATGGCTGAAACAGCACAAAGTCTGCAGAAGTAGTCTGGTTCCAAACATCTAGAGCAGTCATGGGCAATCCTGGTCCTGGAGGGCCGCAGCCCCTGCATGTTTTACTTGTTTCTAGAATAGATGATAATCAGGCTTCTGCTGTACAGAGGACCAAAACTGACATAATTAGAAATAAAAGCAGAATTATATGAACTACTAAATAAATACACTTAAAA